AAGTTCATGGATAGTATATTTCACAAGTAGCAGTAACACCAGACGCAGCTTGACCACCAGCTGCAAGAACATCGCCCGTATTGAGCAGGGTTGCAGCATAATTCCAACGTGGTGTGATCATGCTTGCAGTAGGACTCCATTGACTCGTTAACGGATCATATATTTCCGAACTACCAACCAAATTATAGCCAGTTATTCTACCACCAGCGACAATAACTTTGCCCGAATTGAACAGGGCTGCAGTATGTTGAGCACGTGTTGTAGCCATGCTTGTAGTAGGACTCCATTGACCTGTTAACGGATCATATATTTCACAACTAGCAGTAGCAACAGACGGTTGTCCACTGACAGAAGACAATGGTCCACCACCAATGACAATAACTTTGCCCGAATGGAGCAGGGTTGCAGTATGGAAAATACGTGCTATAGTCATGCTTGCAGTAGGGCTCCATTGACCTGTTAATGGATCATATATTTCACAACTAGCAAACCCATGATTAACCTCATCTTGACCACCAGTGACAAGAACTTTGCCCGAACTGAGCAAGGTTGCAGTATGATAATGACGTGCTGCGGCCATGGCTCCAGTACGGCTCCATTGACCTGTTAATGGATCATATATTTCACAATCAGCAGTATCAGCACCATTGATACCCCCTTGACCACCAGCGACAAGAACTTTGCCTGAATTGAGCAGTGTTACAGTATGAGATCGGCGTGTTGCTGCCATGGTTCTGGTAGTACTCCATTGGCTCGTTAATGGATCATATATTTCACAACTAGCAGTATAACCGGACAATGCTATACCACCACTGACAAGAACGCTGCCTGAGTCCAGCAGCGTTGCTCTATGATAATAACGTGCTGTGGCCATGCTTGCAGTAGGGCTCCATTGGCCCGTTGATTGATCAAATATTTCACAAGTAGCAGTGAATCCATTGTTAGAACCACCAGTGTAACCACCAGTGACAATAACTTTGTTGAGCTTGAGAAGAGTTAAAGTCGGTAATTGACGTGGAATTTTCATGCTTCCAGTAGACACCCATAGTGGTGATGGTAATGTAATTTGCGCGGGTTGTGTCACTCGTGCCGGTTGTGTTACTCGTGCCGGTTGTGTAGCTAAACGGAAAAGGCAGATAATTTACCTGTCTAACTGCAGATTTTCGCACAACTACCGCATTGACGGATCGACTGTCACCGAACCGACGCTTTTTGAAATCTCTATCAAACGCACCAAACAGTTCTGAGTCATTATTTGAATCTCATTGGGTAAAGACAGTCATTGCTGGTCCCTCACACTCACTCTCCTACTTTATACTCCTGTCCTCGTTGCATAAACTTGCACTTCTCTTGAACAACAGAACGAACGTCAAGATAGATGATTGTATCAGCTAGAAAGATTCATATTCGTCTTACTAGTTGGTCGTGGTTGTGTCACTTGTGCCGCTCGTGTAGCTAAACGGAAAAGACAAAAATATTTACCAGTCTGATTCCGGTGTTGTCGCACGATAATGACGTGGAAAACTTTGGCCTTAGAAAGCAAACAAAGCTCTTGTTTTGCATCCGTAATTCCTACATGGTGTTCAGGATGCTAAACTATGTCATTTCAGATGCAAAAATCCATAAACGTCCAACTCGAAAAGAGTCGGTATTCTGGGTAATCGGTATAGCGATACCGGTGCATATCTGGAGAGAACAAGGCGCAGGAAGTGCAACAGAAATGAAAATTCAGGGCTCTAGAAGATTGGGATGTTTACACAAAAAGGATAGCCCGAGCTGAAAGAGAGAGAGAGAGAGGATGAATCAAATAAAAGATCCATCAGTCCCATGCGCATAGTTTCGCATAATAAAAGCGCTGCTCCGGTTTAGACTGCATCGTGCATAGTATGGGGAGCGTGGAATTTTTGCAGCGGATAGTCATGGGCTATGCATAGGAGGGTTTCTCTATGGATAGGAAAGCTTTATGCATAACCGCGCATGTTTTGCTTGATTGGTTGCAAGGTAGGCTTCACAAAAGGATTTGTATGTCTTATGGTTCTTGAGTCTGGCAAATTACAAAGAACAGTAGATAGGTCAATAAAGAGTTGATGTGCAGAACAGAAAAAGAGAACTATTCAAGTTATACTAATGTGATATTCTGAATGACTGGTATGAACCATGATTGAGGTATTTCAGCAGTTTATGTGCTCTCTAAAACAGCAGGTAGTTTTCAAAATCCGAGCGGATTTTATTCTTGAAAACCAAGATGATTGAAAGTGTTTTCCACTTTTGCTGCTTGGATGGATCCACTCGCAATACAAGTTGCTTTTTACTATCGTGATATTCGACATCATCGATATCAAGGATAGCAGCTGAGATAAATCAGCATCTTATTGAACTTAGGAACTGGTTCGTGAATTCCGACATGTCACACCTTCTACCGTGCTATAAGTTATTTTATCAGTTAGATAACTCACAAACCAGCTATATAGTTCATCGCAAATACTTTCCTACGGTGATTTATACAGGAATCCTTTATGACTCTCCCTCTTCGGAATACATCTCCGAAACCGTAAATCCGATCAGGCAATTTCAGGCAATTTTGACCGTATTATTGTACATTTCCGCTAAAATTTCGGAGATGCCATCTATCACAGTTTCGGAGTTTTCGCTGAATGAGGAATCAAAATGAGCATATATATGGACTGTACAATTTCTCGTAACGAAACGTCGTGGAGAGCTCAAAACAGTCTTAAAATAACAAAACAGATAGAGCTCGATTTTTGAATAATTCTTTTTGCAATTTTCGGTAAGCGTCAGAAGTTCCGAAAAGTGTCACTAACCTCCACAAAAGTGTTATTCTACCCAAAAATCTAGACCGAATATCATGTACTGCTGAGAGATGTCTAATTGTGATCAGAAATCTTGACTCTAATATGAATCCTAGAAAACCTTTTAATAAACCCTTGAGCTCTTCGCGAAGACAAAATAACTACGGATCGTACTAGTACACGCCCTGAACTATCCAATAATGTGCATACCCCAATATATACCTTTGCTAAAAGAAATAATGCATTCCTGACGCAGACAGCCCTTTCTCCTATAGATATAACATCACAACCTCGACACGTTCACGAAAATAGCACCAGTTTTCTTATGATTTCAAATATCCAATGCCAACTGATCACTAATAACAACTACTGAGGCATGAAGAAACATTTACCTTCATAAAGACT